GCTGTGGCGGGGCCCAGAATAGACTGCAACGCTGTGGCAGGGCCCAGAATAGACTGCAACACTCTGGCGGGATCTGATCAGATGTTTATACAGCTTTAATATCACACCCATCCTTTGTCGTCATGTCCTCTTGAGAAAAATAAGATTTATCAATCAATACATTCTCACTGGAGTTTAGAAGAATGAATAGGAGACCTTGTTGAAACATATTTTTACAGAGCTTAACAGGCTAAGTGTAGAGAGGCTGTTTCCCCTTGTGGGAAAGTCTAGGACCAGAGAGAATAATCTCAGGATAAAGAGTCGCATGTTTAAGACAGAGATGAGAAATTTCTTCTTTCAGAGGACTGTCAAGGCTTTCTCTGTAAGTAGGTTCAAGGCTGAGGTAGAGAGAGTTTTAATCAGTAGGGGAATCAAGGGTTCTGGGGAAAAGGCAGGAAAGCCAGAGTTGAGGATTATCAGATCAGCTTTAATCTCACAACGGCAGTGTAGACCCAAGGGTTGAACAACCTACTTCTGTTCCAACATCTCGTGGTCTTATGATAAAATGAATGTTAAGACAAGTAGGTCGGCTGTGATCAAATTTAATGGAAGAATAGACTGGAGAGGTGAAAGGGCCTAATCCCACTGCTAGGTTCCCACTTTTCTTCAAAATTTCAAAAACTCTGATGATTCATCATGTAGATTTGGGACATGCGTATTTCAGATAGAGTTCTCACTCGAACCAGTGTATCAAAGTGCAGCGGGCTGCAAAATAAAGCCGGCGAATGAAAAACAGTCCTGCATGGTGCTCAGGTATCCCATCGAGCTGTGATTCTCTAACTTGTGAATAACTGGTCAGAAGTCAGGATGACGAACAGAAGTGCTTGAATGATCTTTTCCTGGATTGCTCACGGGACTGCGCTGGAAATTAACTTCTAGTCTGTAGATACTCCCTTGTGAGTCATACTCTGAGGTTATTGGAGGCCTCCCAACTCAGTGTCAGCCTTTACAACATCCAACTATTGACACAAGAGCACAATAGGGCAAACAGCCTGAATGTAGTGTCACTGGGGAGTTATGTGAATTGATGAATTCCATAAAATGACCCAGCATTTAAATTCTTCAGAACTTGTATAGCATTCATTTTGATTTCACAAAAGTGTGAAACCTTTGAAAATAAATGGGTTAACAATTCTGTTACAGTAAAGGCTTTAATTTCAATACATGCATGTGTGAACAATAACATGGGCTTATTTTGAAACATAAAAGGGAGCTCATTCAGCCAATCTGTCTTTCCCAGCTCTCTCAAAGAATCATCCGATTATCCTACTCTCCCCTCGTTTCCTTTTAGCAGACATTCACTTTCCTTTCACGATCTGAATAAATAAATCAGAGCGTGTGTTTCCAATGCAGGAGATGGACATCAGCATGAAAAATATTCACCATGATTTGTGAGTTAGGCGCAGATACAACCATCACGTATGCTGACATCCAAGAAGAACAATGGTGAAGAATTGTTTGTTGGCAGGAGGTTTTTGGGAACATTCTCAAAACATTTAGATTGCTGTTATTATTGTTCTACATTTAGTGAAGCTTTAAGTTCACAATTTTTCATTAGTTTCTGATGATAAGGAGAGGGAAGGGCAAGGTTCGATGGTGTGTCACCATTTATTGTGAAAGTGCAGACATTATTAATGCTTACAGCTCATTCTCATGTGTCACTGTGAATGTGCGCAAGTGAGTGCAGTGCTCCATCCTCCTGCTGGCATTGGCCACAAACACAACCATAAAGACTATCTTTAAAGTTAATGCCCAGGAGTGTGCTCTTACCTTGAAGAATGAATCGTTCCTCTCAGCAAACAGCGACAGTGGAGACTGCAATGCAAGAGGGCAATTGTTTAGAATAATGATATCAGTACATCTGGGGATATACTGTATATTTTGGAATACACTGAGACCAGCCGCTGAGGCTCAGTGCTACCACTCTCACCCTGGAGGTCAAACAGTGGGGCTTCAAGTCTTACTCCAGACCTGAACACCAAATTTAGACTGACACTCCCCGTAAAGGGAGTGTGCTACTGAACATCCTTCTCTCCACTTGGGTAGATATAGAAGATTCCTAGGTGTGATCTGAAGAAGAGAAGTTCTCCTGGGTTTATTTGGGACAATAATTAATCGAACTCAGTGAAACAGATTATCTGATCGACTGCCCAACATCTGTTGTAGGATCTTGCTGTCCTTAACCTGGCAGCCACATCCTCCTACATGACAACAAAAACTACTCTTCAAAACTGATTGATTGACTGGTGTGCGCTTTGGAACGTCCTGAGCTTGTTAGGTGCTATATAAATGTAGATGTTTCCTCCTTCAGAGCAGCTACAGTTCCAAGGGTAGTCAGGTAGGATTTCTCTCAGTGAACAGAGGAACTCTGTGACCTTCAGTCAAACTGAATCTTCCTTTTCTTAAAGCGTGCTACATTGTGTTAGACAGTGCCAGAGATCAGCTGTGAGGGGCTCCCAGTGAATCAGAGCTCAGAGAATATCCTGACCACCTCTCCACACAATGCTCCTCCACCTGTCATCCTCCCACTCCTCTCCACCAATCCATCTTGTATCTGTCCTTGTTCATCTGTTTCATGCTACTCTTGGCCCCATGCCAACACTGAATACCCCCGCATCAGCCTCTGGGTTGGGGGTGAGGGTTTGGGAGGAACAAGCAGAGGGGGGCACGACGTAGTGGAGGGAAAAGTTCTGAATAGAACAGGAGGGGACATGAGAAAGCATGAGGCTGGCTTTGGGAGGGGTCAATGAGAAGGTCAGGGAGGAGGAGCGAAGAGGTCTGGGAGGGGATAAGAGAGGGTTTGAGAGTCTGACAGGGGATAAAAGAGGGTGTTGGGAGGAGGAGAGGGTCTGGGAGAGGATAGAAGAAGGTATAGGGAGGAGGAGAATCTTTTGGTGGGGGGAGGAAGCCTGGAAGGTGCAGCAGGGGAGGATCTGGAAGTGGGGGTGTCAGAAGGGGTGTGCTGGACCATCTTTCCAGTTTCTCCATTGCACCTGTTCGGGGGATGCCACCTTCCGCAGCTGGGGGCGCGGGGGGGCGAGCTTTGGAAATGTCCGTCATTTTCCTCAACCGAGGATTCCTGTCACTGCGGTTGACAGGGCCCTCAGCTGTGTCCAACCCATCTCCCGCATCTTCAGCATATATACCCGCCTTCTCCTTGCTACAACCAGTCACTCTATCTGCAATGTTAAATTTGCTTTCTTTCCACAGATGCTGCCAGACTGATGAGATTCTCCAATGTGTGGAGTAGACTGACTGATAGGAGAGTTTATGAAATAGTCCCTCTATAATGTGACAGAATGATTAACACCTGGTTTATATACCTAATCCTCCTAAATTTACCCTTAATATGTAATAAATAGTGTTGTAAAGAAGCCCAAGTCTGAGGGCAGTACTTGACTTTGCATTCTCCTCAACCAGACTGTCTTCAGCCCAACTATGTGGACATGGGCATAAAACAACACGTCAAAGGAAGGAAGGGGGCCGATGGTCTAGAGAAGGGAGAGAAGAGTGTCTGGGGGAGAGGAGCAGGACAAATGAGGTGGAGGGGAACAGGTTTTGTGAGGGAGAATGGGAAAGGTTTTGGGAATGGGAGGGATGTGGGAGAAGGTCTGGGAGGGGGAGTGGGGAATGGGCTGAGAAGCAGAGTGAGGGAGGGACTGGGGAGGAGTGGGGAGGGACTAGGAAGGGAAAGGGTAGAGGGACTGAGAGGAGAAGTGACTGTGTCCTTCCTCCTTTGAAAGTGCAGGAGGTCAATCTTCATCTTCACAGTAGAAGGTCAAACACACTTACAGCTCGTCTACAGAGTGTAGAAATACCACAAACTTCCAAACTTAACGTTTTCTATAACAGATGACAACAACGGGGCTTGGCTGGAAGTGTTTTATCTTTATGTAAAGATAAATTGTATTTTTTCTTCTTGACTCCAGTGTACAGATAGGGTTGGGGGCAGTTACTGCTGTGCTGAATGAAGGTTACAGCAAGGTTATAGTGCCGTTACAATGAGGTTATGGTGAAGTTGTGACATGAGTAGGCTCTGAAATTCCAGAGTATTACTGTCTTACAAAGATTGGGCTGGGCCCAGCTTGCCTGGTGGACATTTGCATGGCTGTCACTGCTGGTGTAAGCTGGCCTCAGCAGGATGGTTTGTGGGTGGGGTTGCACTGGAGAGGGGCTGCACTCACTAATGATGGAGGGCCTGGGAGGTTTGGGATTGGACAGTATTAGGCAGTTGGTGTTGGCGGGGGGGGGGGGGGGGGGGGGGGGGGGTTGGTGTGTGCACGGTCCTTCTTCATCCTATTTACAAATCTTCTTCAATTCTTACCAATGTCAGGCCTTTACTTTCCTTTCACAAATCCACCTGTTGGGACAGCATTGTGAGGCTTCAACTAAACTCTATTGAAACGGGAAATCCAGGTCAATTCACACCATGGCACCTATTTCCCATGGGGCAAAACCACCTTTATCATGGCTCTGATGCTATTCACAGGTTGGCATGATAACAGATAACCTCAGGTTCTGAGGTAGTTCCTATCACAGTGATACCAGCTGAGGACTACGAGAAATGAGCTCAGAGGTACAAAAGCCGTGAGGAGACATCCCCCTTTACTCTCTCCTCATCTCAAACTATTAACTGATATCAATGAACCTCATACCATTCCTGGAAGTCCAGGGGCACCAGGCATCCCATCATTTCCTGGAATTCCCTGAAACATAAAGATAGTATTAGATGCAAACTTTACCCCAATATCTTGTGCTGTCTAAGGTTCTGAAAGGGTTAATGCTGAAGGCACCATTGAGTTTTATTCAATCTGATGATGTTATACAATCTTGGGTGGGGAAACTGGGAGAATTGCTTTGGATCACGAAGGGGACGGACGGCTGTGTCAGGTTTGTCTCCCAACAGTTTCAGTAAAAATGTCTAATTGGTAAACATAACATGGACCATTTGTTAATGGACTTTTTTTGTTCAGATTCTTTTTGCTAAGATTCTGTAGTGGTGGTTTTTTCTCCCACTGTCAACCAGATAGAATTTGAGTCCTAGTCAAAAGAATTGAACTGGGGGCTGCATCCCTCCACCCAGTAACGCCACGCTGTGCTAGACAGGTGGTCAGTGGTATGGTGAAGGTGGGCAACGTTACCAAGTGTTATAGGCAGGGGTATTGATTCAGTCAGAGCATCACCGATGAGTCTCTTGATCACAAATACAGACTCAGGAGCACATCAGCATTACCTGCAGCTTTCCCATTTTCAGTTCAGACTGACTTTTCGTCAGAATCTGAAATAATATTCAGGCGGCTTTCATTGATTTATCTAAAGGCGGCAGAATGGAATAGTTTAATGTGGGGTGTACCTGAGTGTCTGGGTGAGGGTGGGGAAAGTATCTTGGCGAGGGTGGCACAGTGGCTCACTTGTTTAGCACAGCGCCAGGGACCCAGGTTTGATTCCGGCCTTGGATGCCCATCTGTGTGGAGTTCGCACGTTCTTCCTGTGCCTGTGTGGGTTTCCTCCGGTTTCTTCCCACAGTCCAAAGCTGAGCAGGTTCGGTGGTTTGGCCATGCTAAATTGCCCCTAATGCCCAGGGATGTGTATGCTCGGTGGGTTAGCTATAGGAAATGCAGGGATGGGACTGGGTGGTTTGCTCTTCAAAGGGTTGGTGTGGACTCAAAGAGCTGAATGGCCTGCTTCCACACTGTAGAGATTCTATGAGCATCCCACTGACGGATGTGCCACGGTGAGGGTAAGGGTCGTGTCCCGGTGAGGGTCTGGTGTATATCCCGTGAGGGTCATGTCCCGGTGAGGGTCGGGTGTGTGTCCCGGTGAGGTTCGTGTCCCGGTGAGGGTCTGGTGTATATCCCGTGACGGTCATGTCCCGGTGAGGGTCGGGTGTGTGTGTCCCGGTGAGGTTCG